TCAAAGGGAAGAATGAGTAGGTGTGTAGGTGGATCGGATAGGACGAGGGAAGGAAATTAATTCTTTTGGTAAAAGAAAAAATTATCCCATTTGAAAAAATTTTTATCTCTTATCTCAAAAAATATCTCCCCTTTTAACATTGATATTGTCGAAAAAATATATCTTCCAAATTTTTATCTTAATAACTATAACGTCTTCCTGTATGTAATATATTATATATATATATATTTAATTATATTATTATTATTATTATTATTATTATTATTATTATTATTATTATTATTATTATTATTATTATTATTATTATTATTCGTATGAAAGAAAATATTCTCTTGAGTTAAACGATTGATAAGTTTCGCATTTAACAAACGTCCAAAGGATTTTTACGGTAGGACAAAGGAATAAACTTTAGTGTAGGTACGATCGTACCGCGTTAACGTGACGGCAGCCTGTTTCTTAATCGGCACCTTAACTCGATTAAGCAGCCGAGAAGAATCAAAAGGGGCCCCCACGGCGTTTTAAAATTTATCAGCGATCAGTGTTGGCCCATTAGAGTCAGTAGGTAAGTCGGAGTAAAGGTGGAAGGGAGTGGTGGAGGAGTAAAGGGGGTAGGAGGTAGGAAGGTTAAGAAAGCACGGGCCGACCACTTCGTCCATTATACTATCTTTTCGTGTCAATCTCTTAAGTAGCTAGAACGTGATAGAACATTTTTTCTCTCTCACTCTCTCTCTCTTTCTCTCTCTTTCAAGCAACAGCAACAGCAACAGCAACAGCAACAGCAGCAGCAGCAGGCGCACGCTTCCCCTCTTAAACATACAGTATCTGCGATTATTATCTTTCTCTCGTAGAAATACCGACAATGACCGACACCTTTTCGATCGGAAACTTTGCTGAATATATATATATATATATGTATATTTCTTTTTCTTTCTCATTTTATTTTATTTTTATTATTATAAAAAACATCAAATTAAAGATATTTTACGAGAAATAAAAAAGAAATATATATATATATGTTTATATTATACTATATTAATATTAAAGTGTAAATTTCGAGTAGCTCTAACTACTCGAGGTCAGAACATACGAAATCACGAAGTTTAATTCGCAATTCGTCTTACGAAGACGATGTAAATGAGAGAAAGAGAGAGAGAGAGAGAGAGAGAGAGAGAGAGAGAGAGTCTAGAAACGTGTTAAACAGAAGGACCAAGGAAGGCAGAGAGAGAGAGAGAGAGAGAGAGAGAGAGAGAGAGTCTAGCGGTGAACGCGTCGTCACGCCGACATTCTGCGCCTGCCTGGTAGAATTTAATCACGATGATGGTTACTCTGTCCCACCGAAACCAATTATTGCGCAGACGTATCCCCGCGCGGAGTACACGCCCGTATACTTCGCTTTACCATATATATATGTATATATATATGTGTGTGTGTGTGTGTGTGTGTGTGTATGTATGTATACCATTCCTCTTTGGAAGCAACCCCTCTAATCTCTATCGACTCAAAACTACCGAAAATTTACTTCGAACGATTGACCTTCGAACTTCTCATCAATTCGCAATATTTTTAAATCAAAGATATAATTGCAATGTCCTTGTTTATCTTCTCAAAGATATATAATTTTCGCGAAATAATTCTTTTAATCATCAATTAATTTAGCAATCCTTTAATGTCGCACATTATTCAACGTATTGTTTGACGTTTGTCTACGGAGGATAAAGATTGCAAAAATTAATACGAATTTGTTGTTTTTTCTTTTTTTTCTTCTTCTTCTTCTTCTTCTTCTTTTAGGATAGGATATTGATATATACTATTGACAAAAATTTATCTTATGAATTGATAATTATTATTTTTTTTTTTTTCTTTCTACTATCGTACGTTATTGAATAAATAAGTTCGAAGGATTGTTGAGAGAATAATTGATATGGTAATAAGTATTCGTTTTTCTTCTTTTCTTTTTTTTTTGTTTTTTTTTCTTTTTTTTTTTTTCATACGAGTATTTCACCTTTCAAAAATAAGTCGTACCGGTCGAAAAAAAATTGTTTTTAATCCTTATTTCGCAAAAAAAAAAGAGAGAAAGGAAAAAATAAATCATATCAAAAAATAAATAAAGAAAAAAATATGTGAAGATAGAGATGCAACGTAAGAAAAAATTTTCCATTGTTCTTTTCCCCCGTTATAAATTAATTTCTTATCGTTGAATCCCATTGCTACCTATTAGCAAAAGAAACAGCAAAGATGTTGAAGGTGTATAGAAAGGGTTGGTTCAGGAAGGGTGGTAAGGGAGTAGTAGTCGGTGGCGTTGGAACTCTCGGGGGCCATTATTGATTGTTGTTGATAATTAGCCGGTATAGGCGCGTCAATCACGAAGCAAGGCGAGGTTATTAGCTCTTCCACGGACACAAGCCAGGCTTGTGAGTAGTAGACGTTCGTAGAGAAGAGCAAGTGAGAGAGGAGAGAGAGAGAGAGAGAGAGAGAGAGAGTGAGAGAAGAGAGGCACGTA